TTCATATAAGTAGTTAAATAATATCAAAATTCTTTAATAAACACATTTAAAATATTAAAATAATTTCTAAAATATTATTATTATAAATTATGAAATCTGGAATGTTACACATCCCAATACACATGTCATAATGTTAATTCATTCACATTACTCATCATACTTTACTCTACACACTACCTTAAATATTAACAATTATAGCATGAAGGCTCTCATCATGCATACTTCAAGTACAAGACTTTATGTGACGCTCTATCTCATGGATTCAACTCAATCATTTCATTCTCTTGACATATCATCTTAATGGAAAACTCATGCATACACATCATCATCATTTCATTCTCATGTCACACATTATCATCATCTCACATTACATCATTCACCAATGTTTCAACTGTTGCATACAACATTCTCAAGTCAAACATCAACATCACCTCACATTATGCATAACCATTTCTTATCACATCATGTACAATCATCTCTTGCCACATAAATTTCTCATGTTACACATAAACATATCATATCATACACATCGCATAAAAACATCACATTGCATACAAGCACAAAGCTTCAAGCACAAGGTAACACAAAACATAATCTTGTAACTTCATCATAACTCGCTCACAAATATCCTTTCTCATTCTAGCTCTTCTTAAACATTGATAGAAGTTTTTCAAATCATCTCCAAGATTCAATACTCAAAGGGTAAACCAACTCACAATTATAGCTCTCAAAATGTATGGAGTTATACTTATGATATCAAGTTAATCTTATTTTTTTTTAGAAAGATAATACAGTTATCTACAACTTCTATGTTGACCTCAGGAGTTAATTTTTTCATCTATTATTTTTAATAATTACAAAATCGCAGCTTTTCACCCTACATCTAACAGTTTGACCCCCGTTCATTAATTTGATCATAAATCAAGTTCTAAACCTTCTTTTTGGGTGATTCTAACAAAATTTGAAAACTAACATCTAGGATTATAACTTTCATGAAGACCATAGAAGCAAACTTGGTCATTTACTCACTTAAGCGAGTCAATCATTCACTTAAGCAAGATGAGTTTGCTCGAAGCGAGCTAAAATTCACTCAAAGCGAGCTGCTACTTGGAACTCTCTATTAGGACTCGCTTGAACGAGTCCAACAAGATCGCTTGAAGTGAGCTAAATTCACTTAGAGTGAATCTAAGGTCGCTTGAGTAAGCTACAATAGTCCACAACTAGATATTATACTATTTATAGGTTTTTAACCTTTCGTACATCATTCCTTAACAACTTCAATCCAAATCCAATAAATAAAGTGTCAAATTATAGCCTATTGCTATATAATTAAGTCATCAATTACACAAATCCAACATCAATTTCACATATTCATGCAATTAACATCAATCTCTACTTTGTTCTATAAATCAAGGGTTTCTTACAAAAACTACCTACGCTCATAGATTTATGACTATAATTCTCAATGCAAAATCAATCATACATACAACTCAATTATAACATCTCATGCTTATAAGAAGGGTACAAAATCATGATTTCATTTGTCAAGTCAAACTATGAATTTTCTAAAAAATTGCATACATGGGTAAAAATGGAATGTAACTCCAACCCAATAGGTTAAGTGGCTCTTAGAGGAGAAAACCCTCACTCCCCCTTACCTTGAAGAACATGACGCATATTTTCAAGATAATTTTTTTTATTGATATCTAGTTCTCCTAATTCTTTAGAGCACAAAACATATCAGAGAAAAAATGAGAAGTGTGAAAATAAAACTGATGCAACTCTTTCATAAAACTCTTAACCTTGTTTAATCCTCCAATAACAAAATTAAACCATAGTTGTGTTTCCCTTCCCTTAAAATATTAAAAATTATAAATAAATAATACATAAAATAAACATATTTCTCTAAACCCAATTATAAATAAAATAAAATATATGACAATTATAATATAAACACATATTTTTCAAAATACTTTTAATTACATAATTAATTAAAATGGACATTTTATCTAAATACTTTTTATAATAAAATAATTTCACAAATTTTTATTCATTAAAATGCTCAGTTATTTTAAAAGTTCCTAAACTCATTTAATAATTTTAAAAAATTTAAGATGTTACGAGAGTTATCTCTTTCATCATATACTTGTTCTATGGGAGATATGAGTCGAGTTTTGTTTCCCAAAACTCTCTCACTCTATTAATAATTTTAAAACCCAGTCTATTGTTTCCTTTTCTCTACTATTTTTTCTTTATCTAAAAAATTAAAAAAAAATACCAAATCTCTCCTCTCGAGGGAAATGTGAAATGAAATGAATGGGAATGAAAATGGAGTCCTTCTTGGAGGCTTTGGATTAGCGGGAAGATATGGAAAACGATCATGAAGTGCATCCTTTGCATGGCCCGGACAAAGAATCACTAGGAGAGAAAAACCAAAAAGTCAAAAGGCAAAGTCTTGTCTCATACTATATTTACCAAAATTATGACTCTCAAAACACTAAAATCAATTTGAGACTATTTGAAGAAAGAGCATGCCGGAGATGAGTGGATTCAAAATATGCAAGTTCTGAACCTAATTAGGGAATGGAAGAGTCAGAAATATTAAAGTTCAAGTGTGATTGGAAGTTTTATGTTAGATAAAGTTATACATGTTAAGCAGTATATAAGTGAGAAAAATATTATTCCAACACCTTAAACTCTTAAGATTTTTAGATTATGATTTAGTGTCAAATTCACTTATATAATTTATTCATTTCTCATTAACAAAGTTTTGTCTTGTGTTTAACTAAACAATCAAAAGTAACCAAAGTTTATTAAAATAGATTGTTTGACATTGCTAAAAGGTTAGATTGTTGGTCACTAAATTTTGCAGATTCTAGAATTGTTGAATTTTTTTTTTGTTTACGGTATTTGCTAGATATGAAACATGAATAACCACTTTAGAGAATACAAGGGATATGCTCAAAAATCACTTTGACATATACATGGGCATAAGAGCAATGAAGACTTGTGCGAAAAGGTCGTGCTGGCGAAGGTGCTCTACCAGCTAAAAGCCAAGAAGCTGCTACATCATTTTCTCATGTATACAAGCTAATTAAGATATTGTTTGATAGAACTTGTTTTCATTCTCTCTTTTTATGGCGTTACAATGTTTACTCTACTATTTACTCCTTTCGCATTACGAGCAAGGCAAATATTATTTTATTGAAGTATTGAGTTCACTAGAGATTGAGACGTAATAAGGATTTATTAAGAATGGTGCCTAATATATAGGATAAGGATTTTAGATGTGTTTGCGACTTGTGTTGGGAAAAAAAAAAAAAAAAGAGAGAGAGAAAACTTGTCTTCTTTTCTTTATGCATAACCGTGGGAGAATACACAATATCGTAAAAGAAATAAAAAAAAATTATAAAATTTATTTAACTGATTCAACCCTCATACTTATGCCCACAAATGTATTCATTATCTTAAATGTGTTACATATATTTATGAAATTTTCCCCTAAACTTTGTAGATAAAACTTAAAAATCTCTTCCTACAAGTTTTATGAGTAAAACTTGAAAACACTTTCTTACAAATTTGATAGGTAAAACTTGAAAACTTTTTCTTTATAAGTTTTATGAGTAATATTTGGAAATTTCTCCCTCACAAATTTTACAAATGAAACTTGAAAACTCTCAATACAAATTTTCTGACAAAACTTGACAAACTCCCGTTTACAAGTTTTCTAGCAAAACTTGACAGACTCTCCTTCATATGACTACATCTACTCTTATTTTAAGGTGGGAATTCTCTCCTTTGCAAGTCAGATAATTTTTCTCATCTTAAGAACTTTTATGCATTTATTTAACATCCTAATCTTAAAAGATAAAATAAATTTCTAAAATAAATATAATATTTTTAATTAATTCTAAACAATATCTTAAATACAAGTAAAATATTTATGGTTGACACAAATATGGTTGATCAAGTATACATTTCCACACTAAAACCATTAATTTCTAAATAAGAAGGAGCAATGCAACACATTTCCAAAAAAAAAATAATTAAAGAGTTGGGCATAAATAATTAATGTGTTAAACCTAAAATTGAGTATATGTGCATTTTTTAAGTTCTATTCTTGGCAAGACTTTAATTATCTCTTAGTCGAACCAAATTAGTATAAAGTAAAGTCTTAAGATATTAATACAAAAATGAAAAATAAAAATAAAAATAATTTCATAAAATAAGATCTCGACTAAAAAATATCTTAACTCTGTTCAGGATTATGTTCTTAATCATGATGAATACAATTATTTTTTTTAAAGTAAAATGTTGATACAATCATTTCCATAAAATAGAGTTTTATTGTTTATTTTGATTCATTTGTGTGATTTATGGATTAGTTAGGCTTTGTTTTTGTATTTGAAATTAGGTTCTAGTTACAAAAAAAAAAAAAAAATTGAAGAGAAAACATACCTCAATTGCAGACTTAAGGGTCGTTAATTAGGACACAGAAGTGTATAGAAGAAAGAGAGGGAATAGAAGAGAATGAGAATGTGGAATTGATCAGCTATCCTAGGAAAAATTAGAATTGAACTACAAAATCATTCTTATGTCGTAGTTTCGGTTAAATTAGGAACAATAATTCATGAACCAAAAGGTGCCCCTCCCTCATGCTTGACAATGAGTCAATGACAAAGCATTTTCACCATCGCTTATATGGTTGCTGTAAATTTTAAGGCGTGAATAGATTCCAACATCATGAATATTATTCAAAAATTGGATTATGACTCTGTTTCTTGATTGTGTTCTTGATCTACTCCAAAAAAAAACTTCCTAGTTGTCATCAAGTTGAGGTTTCTATGTTACACTATTCCTAATAAGGAATTCGTGGTAAAAGAATTTTTGTAAACAATTGAAAATGTAAAAGAAAGAAAACTATCTTCCCCACCAGTTAATATCATTGGTAGTCACATTCCGGCCGTAGACAACACTAATGATCAAATCCAACAGGAATCTTATCGAAAGAACTACACATTTGTTGACCAAACTACACATATATTACAAACATCTCTTTTCACAATATTCATAGAACAAAACAACACCTCAGGTCCCTATTGTTACAAGCAGAACCAAACAGAAGTAGCAAACTAGAAGGGAAAGCTTTGGTAACAGTTCCCTAGCCTTGAAGGCTCGACTTTATTTTAGTAATACAGCACTCATCACCTAAACAAAGAAGACATTGCATTAATATTCCATTTCTGGCTGCCACCATGCATGTGACTGCTGTGGCCACTATTTTACACCTTATTGGTTTCAACTTCTTCATTCTCACCAGAAATATCCTCTAAGGATCTACCCTTCGCCTCAGGCACCAAGAAAGTGAACATGAAGCCCAAGATGTTAACAAAACCTAACACAAGCAACGAATTCCTCACACCAATACCTGCAGGGTACCCCGCATCTGTTTTACTCTTGTCCTGGTTCTGAGCCAAATACAAAAAACCAAATGCACCAACCATAGCCCCAAGCTTCCCCGATGCTGAAGATATTCCATGGCAAGTTGATCTAAACCTAGCAGGGAAAATCTCCGCTGGCACAACAAATGTGGTAGCATTAGGCCCAAAGTTCGCAAAGAAGAAGGTGAGAGAGTACAAAACCACAAACCCTATTCGATTCTCCTTATGAGTCCAATGATCATAGGGAATGGCAAGAGCAAACATAAAAACAGTCATAAAGAAGAACCCCATCAATTGAATCGAAAATCTCCCTATCTTGTCAATGAAGGCCACAGTGAACCAGTAACCCGGAACTGTGCTGCAAAGAGCAATAAGAGTTTGAGCCCTAGCAATTCTGAAAACCTCCTCAAGAGCATTCATGGTTTTTGCATGAGGAATCCATCCAATTGCACTGAAGATATCCTTCTGGAAGAGATTCTGGCTGTAGAATGCAACATCAAGCAAGAACCACGTGGTAGTTGTTCCAAGCAGATGAAGTCCATGACGAGTAAAAAACTCCTTGGAGAACAATCCATACGATTTTCCTTGTGCTTTCTCCTCCATTTTTGTCTCAGCTCGAATCTCCACGTGCATAACCTTAGACATATCCGCTGCAGCTTGCTCCATATTCTTTGCAACTAAAGCAGTGTAGCGTGCAGTTTCTGGCATCTTCAACCTCCAATAGTAAGTCAACGCAGCAGGAACTGCTCCCGCCATTAGAATAATCCTCCAAACATAGTCAGCTTGTGGAACAGTTGACCCCAATGGGTCAACCTCGTAGGGTTCAGCACTAAACCTAGCTTTGAATGCAGATGCTATCACAATCGCAAACACACCTCCCGCCAAAATTCCAAACCCTTGCATGGCGAACACCGCTGCTATAAATGCGCCACGTGTCTTCTTATTAGCGTACTCAGACATTATGGTGGCGGAAAGAGGGTAGTCTCCACCAATGCCGAAGCCAAGCCAGAAGCGGAAGAAGCAAAGAGTTGCCATCACAGTCTTTGCGTCGTGTCCGAAGGAAAGACCCGAAGCAATGGAAGCTATCACCATGAGCATGAGTGTCATGCCATACACTTTTTTTCGGCCCAATTTGTCACCGAGCCAGCCAAAGAAGAGTTGCCCAGAAAGGGTTCCGACGAAAGCTACGCCGTTGACGGCGGCTGACACGTGTGGAGGCAACGTGCCAGGCTTTGGTGACCCTTCAACGTGGTAGTATATGCGCCCTAGAAGCTTTGTCACGAGTGATATGCAGAAGAGATCATATGCGTCGGTGAAGAAGCCCATTCCAGCCACGATGATTGCAGTGAAGTGATACCATTGTGTTTTTGCTACGTCCAGGGCATTCAGCACCTCCTTCCCCATCGCTATCAAACTTTCCTTATCCTTCTTTCTCTCACTCCAAATTGCTTCACTTCTCTAGTTCTCTGCAAAAGTGCATGCAACCGATTTGAACATGTTATGTGTGTGTGGATTACGGTTTCAAAATTAAGATGGGTTAAATTAATTTTTCAAATTAACTTTTAAATTAAAGTAACATCATTTTAGCTTCTGCTGCAACTAACGTTTGCTAATAATTTATATTCAACAGGAAAAAAAAATGTCAAACATATATAAACATTGCATTATAAATCAGTTAACTGAGATTATAAATTTCAAAGGTGTTAAACTTAAACGTGCCTTGCATCAAGCACAAAAACACAACTAAATTATGCAGTTGCAGGTAAATTTTTAATTAGTGACTAACGTATCAGATTTTTTAAATAAAAATATAGAGAAAAAAAAGAGGGGGAAATCCAAGTTTACTTGATCAACTATCATTATTTTGAGGTGAGGAAAATGAAAAATTATACTCGTACATTCACTTTATTTTAATTTCCATCCAACTTTCACTTTATTTTCCATCCAACTTCCACTTTATTTTTTTCTTTATTCTCCATTTTTTTATCACAACAATTATTATGTCTATGACTTTTTCTTTCTGCTGTTTTTTTTTCTGCCTCTAACTATTATATCCACCCCATTTTGGATGGATGATAATCGCTACTTGAAAAAAAAAACTCTAACTAGTAATTAATGAAGACATATTATTAGTTATATCTCATGTTGCTGCTATATCTGCCTATAATTAATTTTTTAATATGTGCCCATGTATTCCCCACGTGTACTGGTGCCTGATATAAGACGAGCATGAATGTACCTATCAATAATGATTATACTATACCACCACTAGAACCATCCAGCAGATTAACTCAATAAAACCGTGAGATAATCAAGTTCTGTACAGATAGTGGTTAAATTTCAATTACACAAATAAGAAAGGCAAAACGTGTTAAATCCTGACACAGTATAATCCAGCTATGCCCCTTATATTGGAAAACTGGGAGATCTTACATAGTTTCCAACCATGTTGCCCCGACTATGTGTACAGTAATTTTTGAAAAACAATTATATTTTAAAAAACATAAATATAAGAAAGGTATGATAACGTTAATATATATATATATATATATATATATATATATATAT